ATAAATGTAAACAGCTTTAAAAAATTAATAAATAAATAAAAAATTATATACCTGTTTTTTTTGTTTTTTTTTGGAACCACCAGCTTTCAAAAGTTAGTTTTTTGCATAAAAATAACACAAATGTTGATGCATACATACATGTTTTTTTCTGTAGATACCAAAGCAATAAATCAGCGGTGGACATATTTGTACAAATTTTGGCGTTTTTTTTTTTTGTTGTTCCAACGTTCGCCCAAAAGAACGCACGGGTATCAGTTATATCTGCCTTTAAAGGAGAACTATGGGGTCAAGGCTTTTCCCCATAGTTCTCCTCAGGGTAACGGGAGGACACAAACTAGAGTCCTCCCGTAACCCTAGGCTCAGTATATAGGGAGCTACAGCTCGCGGTATACTGAGACCGCCCAGCTGCGTGAGTGACAGCTGGCTCCTCCTATCTAGAGGCAGAGCCAGCTGTACCCGCCCCCTCCCCCGTCCGTTCCGCCAGTCAGCGCTGGAGGATCGGAGCGGGGAGGGGAGCCGTGACAGGATCGAGAGGTGAGCGAACGCCGGTATGTGTTCCCTCACCTCCCGATCTACTGAGCCGACCTGTGACAGTCTCATTGTCACAGGCCGGCTAGAACTATGAGGTGAGTGGAAAGCACCCCCCTCCCCCCCCCCTCATAGTTCTCCTTTAAGAAAGTGCTGCGGCGGGGCCCTCATGACCCAACCCAAGTCATGTGATCTCAACCAAACGGGGTGGTCAAGGCAGATGCATCCAATCGCTGCCTCTGCTTGAACTGAGCAACTGGTTAATCTATCAGCACTCTTATGCCACCGGCTTGTTTTTACCGGGGTGCTATCACTGACTCCAGATGAGCACAGATGGGGCCCCGCGTTCAGAGTTGGCATTCAGAATAATTGGCAATGCCACGGACCAGCGCGCCTAGTGTGCGCTGCATTGCGTTGTGCCATAGCATGCATTTTAGGGCAGTGCTATGGTGTGAATGGGCCCTAACCATGTGTGGCTGAACATCCAGGGCCAATCACGACGTCAAGCGTTGTCCACGACGACTCTACGAAATAAAGAATAAAACAAGAAAAAAATAAATAGAAATAATAATAAAAAAGCCCGACAGCCCGCTCGTCCCGTCCGCTCGCGACGAACACCTGCAAAATATAAAC